TTTGTTTTATTTCGTTAAGTAGTCATTTAAAGCTTTCTATAGATATATTTATCATGTCTGTGAGGCATGTATTCGCTGAGTTTCGGTTCATTTTTGTGAAGCGCGCCTGTTCAAGACGAGACGGCAGAAAGCGCATCATGTTTGATTTTATAAAAGCACAACGTTTTGTTGATATTGTGAGTGCACACAAATAAAAGTAGACCCTTTACAGTTACGAATGATGTATTACTCTTACCTTTATGAGCAAAAATGTATCCACTGAAAAAAATGCAAGTGATCGCGCTGGCACCTCCATATCCTGCAAAGCGCGCTTCAGCTTCCACTCTCCGCACAAACTATTGGATACAGCGCACATTTATCTAGGTTTAACGTTTAAACATTGTTATATGCTTGAACTGTTTTATATCTATAGATTTTATTTTAGTCAAGTCGTGATGATTTGAGAAGGCTAAATTGATCAAACATAGCTATGCTCACTGTCTGCCGCTGGCCACTTGGTCGTTACTTTAAATGCGTAACGTTATTTAGGCTATGTGAGTACTGCTCATGTCTGAAAATAATATATGAAAAACAAAATTATTTTACATAAAAACATTAGGCTATAGCTTATATTTATTTAGTACATTTTTAAATTAATGTAAAAACTAAAATGAATTGTAAAACTGAAAGTATTTTTTTTAATTGTGTTCAGCACCGTGGGCCGCATTTGAATTCGTGACAGGCCGCATGCGGCCCGCGGGTTGAGAACCACTGTGTTAGGCCGTTGTAGCTTAAATGTTTGTGTAATAAATTTTATGTTGAATCAAATAAAATTCTTTCTAAAGCTACAATTTGTAATGTCTACTTGATACTTTCTCATTTAATACAAAAATAGCTTTAAATAATCTTTTGTGGGTATTTTCACAGTAAAATTTATTTAAAAACTTCAAAAGTTCAAATAACTAAATTAGTCAGGTTCAAATATTTGATATTCTAAGCAAATACAACTTAAATGTGTCATATTATTTTCACTAATTTTGTTGTGGAAGGATTTTCAGAGAGAGCATTTAGCTTGTTTTTGACCTCTGTTCTCCTGACGTGCCCAGAAGTCTTGAACTGTTTTGTTGATGTCACAATTTTCTTCCCGCAGTTCTCTCTGCCACTGCCTCAACTCTTGCACATCTGGATGCACACGCACCTGAAAAAACAATATATTGACATAGTTTAGCATTCACTACTCTACTACTTTATTACTACTCTTCAGGTCAAAGAAAAAACAGATGCTTTAGGATACACAAGATCCTTCAAAGACGAGAGGAGTCTTATTCATGCCTCCATATGAGTCAGTATCAGTTTTTGTTGTTCTTGTTGCATTAATACGACCAGTAGATGTCCTCAGCATGCTATGTTTTAAACACATAAGCAGTGAATCTAGCTAGTGTAATCTATCTCAGGGGTTTTCAAACCTGTCCTGGAGGACCCCCAGCACTGCACATTTTGTATGTCTCCTTTTTCAGACACACCCAATTAAAGTCTTGCAGTCTCTACTAATGAGTTGAATCAGGTGTGTTAGATGAGGGAGACATACAAAGGCTGAATCCGAAATCGCCCCCAATACCCTCATTCACGATTCCCTACATTAGGCCACTAATACAGTTAACTTGAAGGAGGAAATGAAAACGAGTGAGTGAATTCGGACACTGAGTGCACCGGAAGGACTGGTGCTTTTGCATAGTTTATGCTTGCTTTTTAATAATGATTTGAAACTGGCAAACTGGCAGCTCCAGTAGTAAGATTAAAGGATTTATCTTGAACTCTGTCATGGAAATTATGTATAAACCCTAATCAAACAATTTAATAATCAATTTAAATGAATTCGGACACTGAGTGCACCGGAAGGAATGCCGCTTTTGCATAGTTTGTGCTTGCTGTTTATTAATCATTTGAAACTAGCAAACTAGCAGCTCCAGTAGTAAGATTAAAGGATTTATCTTGAACTCTGTCACGGAAATTATGTATAAACCCTAATCAAACAATTTAATAATCAATTTAAAAATAATTTATGGTAACACTTTCTATGAAGCCCATATTTATAATATCAAACAGCCATAAGATCAGATATCAGATCAGATGAATGTGTAATAAGACATATTTGCTTTGAACTATTTTAATGTAATATAAGTTTGATTATTTTGACGGTTCCCCAGCAGACAGACTGACTATAAGTAACTTTGCAAGTACGTCAACATACCACTTACAAGATGTAGTAAGATACTGTGCAGATCTTAAATAAACAATGTCAAGATATATAGTCCATTATAAATGTAAAAATAGATTTAATCTTAAAACTTATAACCACAAATGCGTAAGCATTATAATGTATTATAATTGTTGTTATGATTATTTATAAGATGATATAACATATTATAAGGTCTTTTATAATGCATTATGCATTCATTATAATGCCTTAAGAATACCCTTATAATGTGTTATAAATATGGGCTTCATAGAAAGTGTTACCGAATTTATATCTGTACTGTTTTACGCTGTACTCTGTGGACGAGCGCTTTGTAAAATTAATGGATGAAAGGATGATTCAGCTGCGTGCGTCATCTTCTGGCAAGACGTGGCAATTCATTTCGTGCGCAATTCTCACAGTGCATTATGGGTATTCTGGGTTATTATTGGTATTCTCAAGCCGTTGTGCATACATCAGTTGAACACTCTTTATTGCTGTGCATTGTGGGATTGAATGAGTGCACTCAATAATGTCCACTATGTTCCATAATGTTTACACTGTGTACTAGGGAGAAGGGGCGATTTCTACTTCAAAATGGGAGACAAACAAAATAATGGAAATTAAAAATTAAGATATTGCCGGTATCAGCATAAAACAAGGAATGTAATGAGTATGTTATAGAGGCCACAAAGGTACCAGATTACTAATCAGGACCACCTGATATCTGACTCATCAGCTGATTCTGTTTGGTAAGTATATCATTTTAAATATGTTTGCAACATGTTTCACACTCTAGGCTGACACAAGTTTTTATTATCACAAGATCTACCATTATTCGCCTCATCTTAGGGGCCGTTTACACGACAACGTTTTCAGCCAAAAACGGGAAACTTTTTATGCGTTTTGCCTGTTCATTTACACGACAACAGCGTTTTGGGGACTGAAAATGCATATTTTTGAAAACAGGTTTCAAAGTGCAAGTTTTTGAAAACGGCACCGTTGTTGCTTCCGTGTAAACATCCAAAACGGGAATCTTCGAAAACGGTGACGTCATGCGTGTGCGCAGTGTGTGTTAGGTATGTAGACATGCTCAGTACGTGTCGATTTTAAAGGCAAGCGCGAACAAACATACACAACAATGGCGGAGTACATGGTAGAGGTCTTCTCGGGTCCTAAAATCTGTACCCGACCCGAATCGACCCGAATCACTTCTTACTCAAACCCGACGTGCATAAATAACATTTTTTTAAAGAAAAACCCGACGGCATTTATTTTCGAACCCGACTGGACCCAAACATAAACGGCATTGACGTGTGTACAGCCTGCAGCCCCGCAAAAATCCCAGTGTCCTGCTGACTGATTTGGCCGGTTCTCCATTACTTTGATTTATTTAACATTTATTCAATTTATTATTAGGCTACTTTATATTAGTGCCTGCCTGATGGATACAAGTTATTTCTGAGCTCGGCTTTCAATTGTGACCAGTGGATTTGAAAAATAAACGTGATAGTTTGATAAAAAATAAATCGATAGCCTAATCATGGATTCGCTGTTGTCTGCAACCTGATCTCCGGCGAAAGGCTTCTGCACACAAAAAAGAAAAGCCCTGCATGAACACGCAGCATAATGAAGCGAGTGGATTTTCCTGATGGATCTCATATCTATAAGATGATGTCTGTGTGCTCCTTTTCTATGTGCATTCCTCTCTTAACACGAAAGTGAAAGTAAGCTACGCATTCGGGATAGTTTAAAAGAATTCGGGTCTAATCAGGTCCATTTGGGAAAAGCATGTTTATTTTAAATTACCCGAGACCCGAGGCAGCTAATACCGAACCCAACCCGTGTCCGAGGTACTCGTCAAAGTTTTGGACCCGAACCTGCTCGGGTCTCGGGTCGGACCTCGGGTTTTCGGATCCAAGTGGACCCGTGAAGATCTCTAGTACATGGTAGTGTTGTTGCTGCTCAAGAGTTTGCTAACGCTTCTTCAGCAAAGTGTGGATTTACTTCACCGATATTACAACCAACAGCGGAGACGCATCATTTACACACGGCAACAGGTACTTTTTACTAACAAGGTGACAGTGCCAACTACTGGCCTGGCATACGTAATACAGTGTTTTTGGCCGTTTTCGCGGATATGTGTAAACGCAAATCGTTTTGAAAACGTTGTCGTGTATACGTGAAACTTTTTAAAAACACAAGGGAAAATCTTTTCCGTTTTTGACTACATCGTTGTCGTGTAAACGTAGCCTTAGAATGCACTGTCTTTGAAGCATGTTTTATTGCCTTGTTCTGGATTAAATGCTTAAATTCTGATATATGTGACTCATTGGTCGATCCTGCTTGATAATTATATCAACTTGTCTGCATTATGTTTCCCAAAACAAAGCTTGTTGGTGATTGTAGTCTTTGGAATTATGTTTTTGCATAATAGCATTATTGATGTTAGGGACTGGAGGAAGGCACGTTGTGTATGTTGTGTCAAAAGGGAGGCCCACTGTCTTTGACTTTGACAACCCCCGATCTAGTGGCTACATCATGGTATTTACAGATTACTTTCTTTATTTCTTTCCACCAGATTGCACTAATCTTCATTTGTTGGATTTTAAAGGGGTTCTATTATGTCTATTTACAAAGTCTTGATTTGGTTTTTGCGGTGTACTAGAATAGGTTTTCATGCTTGATTGTTCCAAAAACAAATGATTTTCACATATTTTATATTTTTGCAGCAGCTCTCTTTCCAGTCTGTCTCAAATGCCCTGTTAAGTTCCTGTTTTGATGAAACCCCTCCTTCGGAAATTGGTGATTGGCAAACCACTCCAGAAATGTCACACACCTTACCATAACCACAAGTCTAATCTGCTCAGCTGTAAATATTAACAATGCCATCAATTTTGCCATACCAAATAAAGTCTGATTCAGACCCTGAGAATGTTTATAAACAAGAGGATTGTGCAGAACCTTTGCAAGCATAAATGAGGGGGTATATCTCCTTTTAGAGTGGACTTCAAGCATTGCAACCTTGCAGATTTTTTTACAGAACCTTGCAACATTAAACACTAACTAAATGTTGAAAAAGTAAAAAATAAGCATAATAGTATACCCTTTTTCAAATTTTTTAAATTTTACATAGAAATAAATGTTAAATCATTTGGAGGTGAATACTGTTTACCCAGAAAAATGTTAAATGTTTTACTGTAACATACGACATAAGTATATATTAGGGCCGGGTGATAAAACGATTTAAAATTGGGTTGTGATCAAATTTATGTTGATGACAATGATACGCTCTGCAGCTGTTGGCTCAAAGTTCACACCCATTCCTACTGCACACTGTAAGTTATTAGTCAACAGAACTTGACACAAGGAAACAAAAATGAGTGGAACGGGCGAGGAAAGTAAATGTGAAACTAACTTTGTGTTATCTTCCAAAGATGAGAAAATAGTCCAAAAATGTTTTACCATGACTGCAGTTATATAGAAGTGGTTTGGCTATTTTAAAAGCGACCAGGCGCAGATTAAAGCGATCTGGAAAATATGTCAGAAATTGGTGACATCCAAGACTGACAACACAACAAATCACCATCCCAGCGACCACACTGAAAGTATGAAAATGTGGGCCGATATTTCTCTGTCAACAAGTAGCACTCATAGCAGGGCTGTACCAAAGCAGAAATCGATTGTGTCACCCTTCATAGCCATTACTCCTTATGAAAAGCGATCCAAAAGGAGCAAGGGTATAACGAGAGCAGTGTCTTACTTTATAGCAAAGGATATGAAGCCCCTAAGCTAGGGCTGGGTATCGAATTTGAAACCATTTAGGAATTGCCTCAATACCATAGAGTATCAAAAAAATGTCTTGTCGTTTGGTACCAAATTTCGATACCCTAGGAGTTAATCTTGTCAACGTCTGTGAGCCAGCAAGCATGCAGCATGCTTGATGTGCCTAAATCAAGTGCTGGTGATTGGCTGTGGCAAGGCATCAAGGAAAAACACTAGTTTACGCTAGGGGTTAAACGACTTCTGATTTTTTAAAAGTCGACTTTTATGTGATGAAAGTCGAGTCGAAGTCGACTAGTCGCTGATGAAGTCATTAATGTACAAATACGTCTGGAGCTGCGATAAACACCTTGTGCACAGCTATGGCATATGACACAGCACTGCCCACATGGCTACTGCTCCTATAACAGCTCATTTTTATCAGTTCTTTTGTCTTTGAGACGTTATGTTTTTCACAGATTTCTGCTCCTTCTAAATCAGATACAGATAAAGTAGCACAGTAAAGATTACATTCATATGAATGCATTAGTGAGAGCGATTGCGTGTCTGAATTAATTCTACCTGGCAGCATCTCTCTACTAGTAGTGAAGCTGTGGGATTTAGTTATTAAGAAATATATGCTTGAACTTTTAAGTTTCAAAGCTATTTTATTGAGAAATCACAGAACAGTGTGTGCGTTACAGTGCAGCAGCGCATTAGATTAGAACAGTGATTAACTTACCTACCTGTACAATAAGCTGTTTAAAACGTGCATTCTCCCGTTCAATTTCGAGCATCCAGTAATATAATCTCACATGTTTATTTGTCATTTTAACTGTTTGGAAACGGAGCATAAATGTAGAAGTCCTTCAAAGATTTCTTATCCTGTTGCGCCCTCTATAGGACCAGCGACTAGTCGACGCCAAGCTTAAACCGTCATGGCAGAGCATTGAAGTCGACTAACCGACTAGTCGATTAGTCAGTGCAACCCCTAGTTTACGCTGGTTACGCCCAGAGATGTGGCTCACACATGTGTAAACGGGCTGTAGTGTGTAAATGTCCCATCCCCCATAGATGTAAAAGATGTAGAAAAGATAAAAAGTGTGGCTTTTCATCTCGATGACAACTCATTGACTCGATGACAACAGTGTGCAATGCAATATTTGCAACAAGATAATTGCTGCCAAGATCGGCAACACAACAAATCTGATAAAGCACACTTGACTGCACAGAATAAACGTAAGTGCAGAAACTTGCCCCGTCTTCGACTATAAGAACACCAAGCCGGAGTAGTCATCCTCTCAGTGTCCTCCTGCCACAGAGCCTCCTTCACCATGCCCACCACACGAGTCCTCATCCAAAACTACTCATGAAGACAGCTGTGCAATGACTGGGACTCCGACAGGTAAGGTTAACGTTTAGCAAACAAACAAACAACAAACAAACAAAATCAGCTAACCTGTTGTGGTACATGCTTGTGTACTAGTTAAGTTAACGTTTCTGTGCGCGGTGACTTACTGTAGTCCTATAAACTGGGACCTCCATAACGTTAGTTTGGATGTATAGCTATAGATAGCTCGCTAAATCGATGCTAAAATGCTTTAAAGTTGACAGCAACTGATCAAGTTTAACTCACATTAAACTAATTATCTTTTTTACTTTTTTGTTCACAGAAGAGGCAAAAGCTCTCTGCCCTTGAGGAGCTGTTTGCTGTGGAGGACATGGCAATTAAAATTAAGAACAGAGACCACTGTCAGCAGTAGTAGATAGAGGATTCAGGCGGAGATAAAGCACTACAGATTACTTCCATCTACACTGTCCTCAGTGAGTCCAGTAACTTGGTGGTGAGACAAGAAGGACACTCTCAGAGCTTACATTTTCTACTGCTGGGGACATTATCAGTCAGGAGCGGGCTTGTTTGTCTCCTGAAAAAGCAGGCATGCTATTTTTTTCAGCAGAAGAACTGCTGAGTGATTTAAAGATCTTGAGTATGTAGTAGTGAGCCTCACATACTGACTTGAAACTGTTCATTTTGCACTGAAAACTATTTGAACTTTATTAAAACAAAATTGTGTTATGAAGCGTGCCGTGGAAAGCTGGAAATTCAGCTAAGGAACTGTGCCACTACCACTGACATATGGTCCAGCCGCACATCTGAGCCATATATGAGCCTCACTATTCACTACATCAACGAGGAGTGGGCTCTTCAAAGTAGATGCTTGCAGACGTCATATTTTCCGGATGACCATACTGCCAAAATACTCTGCCAGGCTCTGGAGGATGCACTCGCATCTTGGGGCCTTAGCAAGGACCGACAGGTGCGTATCACCACAGATAATGCAGCAAACATTGTCAAGGCTGTTTCGCTTAAAAATTGGACTCACCTACAGTCTTCCGGTCACCAGCTGCATCTAACCATTGGAAAGTTAATAAACATCTAAGGAAAGAGCTATGCTAAATGCCAAGGATCTCCAACCCTGCTCCTGGAGAGCTACTGTCCTGCAGACTTAAATTCCAGCCCTGGAATATGTTACTGTTTTTTGCATTGTATTTTGAATTGTAGTACATTTGAATTGTACTATTTTTGAGATACCTGACATATATTTTAATGTTAGCCTATAATGTATTTGATTAACATTTTGCACGTGTTTCCATTAATTGGATTATGATGTACAGGATTAACTAAGGTGAATATTTATTGACTTCATTTATTATAAATTTCTATGGATGTTGTTGTTTAGATGCAAACTACGAAGTGGCAAAGAAAACATATTTGGCACATTTTTAACAAATCCTGGTACAGTCCTATATGACATGTTATACTGTCAGCGATTTGTTGTGTCATGCTGCACCGCAGTGCATCCAGTGTAGACAGTTGCTGTGCCTCATTTCGAAGGCTATGCCCTCCAAAGGCCACATACGTCATTGAGGCTGCCTAATTTCAGAATTACATTCAAAGATATTACAAGAATTACTACAGGTGGGAAGATTCATATTGATTCTTGGGGTCACGATTCAATTAAAAATCGATTCACAAATTTTCTATTTTTAATCACGATTCACGATTTTTCATCACTTTTTTGTGCACACTGCACATCAAACGCACCAGTATCTTGATGCAAAACACACCAGTCTATAATATGGGTAGTCCTGACTCAAGAAATCAGTGTTTCCTATTAACGATGAATTTCCTAATAAATCTAAAATATTGTACATGCCCAAATCCGAATACCATGTTCGGAAAGGAAATCCTTTCATACTATGGAACCCCTATAAATAAGAGATTGGAGGAAAAAATTGATTTCAATGCTTTCTCTTGCAATTACAGTATATCGCTGGGTATTTATACTGTATATAAATTGCGGGGCATTGAAACACTTCGAGATTCGCAATCACACATGCGCCGTGTATACTATGGAGCAGCAGTACTTACCGCTCATTTTACAAGATTAGATGTTTATCAGTGGTGCTCAGGATATGCAAATCATTCACCATCGTCCTCAGTCTTCTATTCTTGTTCTAAATGAAATTTTATGTACTGTAATGTAACAGGCTACCGCTAGCAAGCGGCAAATCATTTTCCGTAGAATGCGTTGTTCGTTTTCCGTGCCTTTCTGAATACGGATTCACTATTCCGGCACAACCCTACTTCCCATAATCACAAATGATCAATAATTAATATAACATTTTTCCAAATACTTGCCCTCGCTGAAAATGGGACAGGATGAACTTGTTTTTCCTCCTACATTGCTGTTTTGTTCCGACAGCATCATGTTATTATTCTTCTTCTTATTAAATTAACTAAAAATTAAAAAATTTTAATTTGTGAATCAATGCAAATTGCTACAAGACTGAATTGCGATTCTCATGTGAATCTAATTTTCCCCCACCCCTAAGAATTTCACCTCACAAGAAATAATTGTGGTTACCTGTTTTAAAGCTGCAGTCCGTAACTTTTTTTGGTTAAAAATGATCCATGGCAATTTACGGCGAAAATTATTATTTGGGTCATATATTCCAAGACGTAAGCTAGAATCTGTGATTGCGAAGTACAGTAAATATCCACACCGGTGCGGTGACTGACTGCCACACACACATACTCTTCAGAACATTAGATTCATCCGACTCTGGAGCCGCGCCGACTCACAACCCACGCAAGGAAGATAATTCCACACACAGCTGCAATTGCAGGTTTTCAAACAGAGATGGAGACAAAGAGGCAAAATTTACGGACTGCAGATTATAATGGGTTCAAATGTATTTTGTCTCATCACATGCGCCACATGCGTACAGTGTAGACACAGTGTTTGATTATGAGGGTGTATGTCATGAGTTTGTATTTTATTTTGTGGTTCAACAGGAGCAATGGTTCTCAACCTTTATGACTCTAAAAAAGCATGGTATCCTGACAGCCAATAACATCTCTGCGGCATTTTCAGTGACAAGTTTTTGCACTCTCTAGGGCTGTCAAAAAAAAATTTGAATTTCGAATATTCGTCGAATTAAAAAAAAAAAAAAACACATTCAAATGCAAAAACGTTGCATTCAAATTTAAGGTCTGCGTCAGCCGTCAGGCAGCCTTATCAGTGGCGCACGAGATACGATGACGATGTATGTGTCATCGATTGCATTTGAATGCTTTTGTTAGCCTATCCAGTTGAACCCACTAGATGCGACGCTGCTACGTTGTTCATTCATATATTGCGGAAAACGAGAGCATTAGTGCAGAGATGTTGTTGTTTACGTCAAAACTGAAATCAAGCCATTCACACAGAATGCATATTTATCACATTTTCTAGCGGGACATCTATCAGCGTTGCACTCGCGTCTCGCAGTGTTTAGAAAGCCATGTAAAATTAATGCAAGTTGCATTGCACTCGCGTCTCGCACAAGAGAGCCACATGTTTAGAAAGCCATGTAAAATTAATGCAAGTTCAACTTTTAAAAAACATGTCTAAAAGACGTTATGGCGGTTAATGGCGGCCCCCATCCCACAGTATCTCATGTTTTTAAATGAAGAAAGTAACCTACTCTTTGTGATTGGTTTTCTGTCCTTTGTATTAAACTATACATACATGCATGGTGCTGTTTTTTTTCTAATTGTTTAAGCAACTTTATTAATTGTATATGGTTTATAAACATTACTTGAAACATTATGCACTTTTTTTCAAAGATAGTCTGTTATTTTATTACGCTTTGAAGAAACGTGCATAATATTTTGCTCGATGCACCCTCTTGTGGCCTCGGGAGAGAAGCCAAAATCTTTTTTCCCCCAACTGAAATTATGCCTTTTAAATTCGAATTTAGTTTTTCAGTCATTTTGACAGCCCTAGTACTCACCTTATATCCCCTCCAGAAAGCCTGGATCAACACTGCAGCTTGCTCATCTGTTAGAAGTAGAGAAGCTGGGATGTGCGGCCTGGGACTGACAGAGAGAGAGCATGTCTGTCATGCAAATAAATCACATTCAGAGCTGAAATGAAGACTGAGAGAGACAGCCAGAGTACGTTTATTAGGCAATCTACTTACTGTTCAAGAAGCCAATTCTGGACGAAAGGAATTGTATGAAAATTTGTAGGTGTTCGCTTTGTCCGAGGGTTTTTACTAATAGACAAGAGCAAAAAATAAAGAACATATTTAAACACATTTAACCATTTCACTGTATAAAAGTCACAAGGAAATAGCCATAAAGTGTTGGCAAAACACACAGGGTCACATTTCTCTTACTCACTTGTATAGCCATTCAGTGAGGAAGTCACAGCCATTAAACGCCGTCTTTTTCCTCTAGATTGACAATCGAACATGTGAAATAAACACAATGAAAAAGATGTTATATTATAAGATTAAATGTTACTGATCAGTGGCATAGGTTATGTAGTTGGGCGACATGGAGTGTCTATACAGTACCATTCAAAAGTTTGACAACGTTACGATTTCTAAATGTTTTTAATAAAGTCTCTTCAGCTCAACATCTTCTGCTATGTTTTTGTGCTTAAAAAAATTCAGTATAAACAGTAACATTGTGAAATAGTATTACAAATTTAAATAACTGTTTTATATTGCAATATATAGTAACATGTAATTTATTTCTGTGATCAAAGCTACATTTTCAGCATCATTTCTCCAGTCTTCGGTGTCACATGATACTTCAGAAATCATTCTAATATGCTGCTTAAGAAACATTTATTATTATTATTATCCAGTGGTGTAATGTAACGAAGCAATAATACTTCGTTATAGTACTTAAGTATATTTTGGGAGTATCTGTACTTCACAACCGCGGATGATTCATTCACGACTCAAGTTGAGTCTGGGTCGTGCGATACAGCATCGTCTGTGATAATATGGTAAGTGTTGTTGTAATGCTGTGCGATCGGACATTATCAGGTAGGCTATATCACCAAATCACACACAGAGTGCACACACGTTGATCGTTTGAATGAATCGGTTGAATAAATGATTCAGTTATTCACTCATTAACACAGTCAAATGCTTTGTTCCTGAATGAATCAGTCGTTTGAACAGATCGGTTGAATAAATGATTCAGTGATTCACTCTTTAACACAGTCAAATGCTTTGTTTCTCAATGGCTCACTCATTAACAGTCACTTGCTAAACAAAACATTATTTATTCATCTGTGACTGCAGGTTGAATGCATCCATGTCCCCTCTGAAATAGGCCTACGTTAAACTGTGTAAATACATCTAAATGCTATTTCAGATGCAGATTCCAGAAATGTTTTCTCATGTTGGAACAAAAGACACTAAGTACCGGATGAAGTGCCATTTTGAAGTGCAAAATGGAAGAAAGAGTTCAAATTGAACACAATCTTGCTACTCGAGCTGTGTATAAACATTTTGGGACTTCAACTTCTACCAAAGTCATTTTCTGGTACGATATCTGTACTTTTACTTGAGTATGGCTTTCAGGTACTTTATACACCACTGTTATCATCAATGTTTAAAGTTGTGCTACTTAAAGGGATAGTTCACCCAAAAATGAAAATGTGATGTTTATCTGCTTACCCCCAGGGCATCCAAGATGTAGGTGACTTTGTTTCTTCAGTAGAACACATTTGATGATTTTTAACTCCAACCGTTGCAGTCTATCAGTCGTATAATGCATGGCAATGGTAACAAAATCTATGAGAGTAAAAAAAAACATGCACAGACAAATCCAAATTAAACCCTGCGGCTTGTGATGACACATTGATGTCCTAAGACACGAAACGATCGGTTTGTGCCAGAAACCGAACAGTATTTATATAATTTTATACCTTTAATACACCACTATGTCCAACTGTGTTTGGGCACGCGCACGGCATTCGGTGCGTGAGGTGTGTACGCGCTCTGGCGTAGTTTACG